TAGATTTTTTATGTAAACATATATATATGTATATATATATATATATATATTTATTTATATTTAAATAAAATAGCTTTATTTTAAATAATTCTTTAAAGCATATTCGTTCGCCCAGCTCCACTCAGATTACTGGCCAACTGTTAAAATCCATGCTTTAGGTGTCAAAAAGCTCGCTCTAAACCCTTGTCAATATCAATAAGTGTCGGCTGGGCAGCCCTAATGGAGGGGCATTTCCCAGAGGAGGCGGTGCTCGCAGTCCCCGGATACCGCATCCACAGGGACCAACATCGACGACCGCTGTCTGGGCTGCCAATTGCTGGTCACATAATTAATAAACCGATTCTCGGGTAATTGCTGTCGGCATTTATATACACACACATATATTTGTATATTTATATATATTGATATATATTTTTTATTTTATTTTATTTTTTTTTCAGCTCTTGCATAATTTAGGAGACGTTGTCAACTGCAATTGATGTCGCGATGCCCGATGTCACGGTGCCACGCCCCCACACGTGTCACAGCAGTGTTAATATTTGGGTTGCGACATATTGATTGGGCATAACTGAGATATATGCATAAACATTTATGCATATATAGATTCTTGTTCATGTTGGGATATGTCATAAAGTGTCTGTAGAGAGCTTGCTTAGTTGTTGTTTCTCTCTTTCTCTCTCTCACACACTATATATATATGTGTGTATATATATCTTCCTTTTCTTTTATATGCGTAAATAACTGTAATTATTGCGTGTGACATTGTAGCACTGTGCCACGCCCACTTGTCTGTCATTATGCTAATGTCGAATCTGACAGCTGAGCCAGCCGATTAGCTTGCGGTGTTGAGAGCTGTCAACAGCCAAATAAAACGCTCAAAAGGGAGCAACAATGTGGTATTTATGCTATACATATATGTATGTACATATATATACGTACTTTTGTCTGTATATACTTTTATAATAAATGTGAGTTGGTGAGTTTGTTTGCTAGCGAGTGACATGCAATTATTTATACATTATTTTGGTAGCGTAAATATTGACAAGCGCCTTTGCTGCCGCCACCAGCCCAGCGGCAAGCAGTCAAAAGCCTAAGCAAACAAAGCAATTCTCTGGGCGCACATTGCGTATACGCAACACACAATGAATACAATTGAAGGAGCTCGACTCAAGAGCTGCTAAATGCTAGTCGCCTCTCGCATTTTTATTTGATCCACAGCTTGCCATTCGGTATGCTTGTAAATAAATTTTATAAAATTTTTGAATTGAAATGTAATAAATAATAAATATTCCCTTCAAGCCGTCGACTGCTATTCAAATCTTAACTAAAAGTGGCTCATCAATCTGCGAGTCGTTTAAATAAAGACAGATGTTAAATTTGGGTGCACTCCAGATTGCTGAATCATATGTTGTTTTGCAACTCATTCGACTAAGCGTTATAATTTATCTAAGGCAACGCAATCAAAATGTTCGCCCAGCGCCCAAATTCAGAGGAGGTAAAGTCATTCACCCCTCGCTGCTCAATCACCTGACAGAAGCAGTCAATCAAGCGTTCAATAGGCAGTCTCAGCAAATCGACAGTTTTTGATAAGCTGCAGACAAGAATCCCAACACAGAAAAACGTAAACTCCACAGGAATTCAGGTTGAGCTGGAGCAGAGGGTAGATCAATATAACAAACATATAGTAAGTCATAATTTGTCTCTGTGTATTAGAGGTCATTGAAAATGTTTGAAAATTATATTTAGTGATCTGCTAGAATAGTCGTTTAATTTACTGCAGGGTATTTCCTAGTCGTATGCCCTTTACGTTTGAGTTTTTATGGCTATAAATAACCTATACCCAGTGAACAGAGCTAGCATTGGTTTTGTTGTATGAAGATATATAATACATAAATAATATATATAATATCTAGTATGTATAATATATTTTTATATCAGATTATAGGGCATCTTCTAATTCGACTCTAGTTCTATTGGGTTTTTCCGATTGCTGACAAAATATTTGTGTTAGGCTGTTCGAAATACCTTCGTCGACTTGTTGCTGATGACCCATACATAAGCAGACAACACAATATAAGCACACAACCACACAGACCCACAACACATCCACACACTCACACTCTCATCCACACCCACACACTTACACTTACTCAGACTATTCAACACTCTGCTATGCGTTGCATACATTTGAGATCCGCTGCGAAATGCTCACATTTGGGTGGCAAAGCCTGGCTGAAAATTTATGGCCTAGTCCCCTTTCTTTGGCATTCCATGCAGGAGCAAACATATTCCTTTAGGTTCTACGTTTGGCAGATTTGAAAACCATTTAAATGGCGCCATAAAATCACTTAAGTGTGTTTTGCTGTACACGTTTTCTGTTTTCTGTGTTCCGCTCCTTCTTTTTTTTTTTTAGACTCATTCACGAAAGTGAAATGAGTATATTGGTTTTGTGCAATGTCCGTCTTGCTGTCCGTCCGTCTGTCCGTCTGTCCGTCTGTCCGTCTGTCCGTATGAACGCAATCTATTTCGGCGCTATTGAAGCTAGAGACTTGAAATTTGGAACACATACTCGTGTATATCTCCGATTTATAAAGTGTTAAAATTTTCCCGATCCGCCCACTAGGGGCGTGGCAAATCGGAAAATGCATTTTCCGATATACCAGAAATCATGTTTGTTGAAGAGCTAGAAAGCTGAAATTTGGTATGTAGGTCCGCGCCAACCACCCAAGATCACAAGCTATGGCGGATATATCTCCGCCCATTAGGGGCGTGGCAAATCGGGCAAAACTGTATCTCCTAAAGTTATAAACCTAGAATGCTGAAATTTTGCACGTAAGCTAATGTTTTAATTCTATGAAGATGGGTGAAAAAATTATATATCTACGCCCCTTAGGGGCGTGGCAAATCGGACCTGAAGATATAGTGATTTTTCGAATTCTGCTATATTTTAGGCACTATTGATGCTAGAGATCTGAAATTTGGTATATATACGCGGGTCGATCACCCAAGTCCAACGAGCTATGGTAGATATATGTCCGCCCATAGGGGGCGTGGCAAACCGCAAAAGTTTATATCTCCTACAATTTAAGAGCTAGAAGCTTCAAATTTGGATAGTTAAGTTACTGGTAGCCTCCTCTATCGATGCCCCAAAAATAATTTTTAAGCCTCTTTAGGGGCGTGGCATATCGAAAAATACCCTGTAATTTTCACATTTTTTGAGCGTAAGAATTCAAATTTTGCATTTAGGTAACCGGTTGCTCGTTCTAAGAACTGGCTAAAATTGAGGAGTCGACGGCCACTAGGGGCGTGGCAATCGGCATTTACAGTGCCCGTATTGCGACATTTATATGCGTCAGCCATCTATTTATGCATTTGTACATATAAATAAGCTTAATAGATATTCATAATACAAAAGGAAACATTTTTATGAATTTAAAAAAAATTTAAAAGAAGCTAAAATAACAAAAATTTGCAATTTACAAAAAAGTGTTTTCCGCGGGATTTGAACTCGCACCCAACCCAAACAGCATGTTTGTCAAAATAGCTAAAATAATGGTCGTCGGCGCTTCAGCCTACAGCACCACCGCGTCGTTTCGATCAATGGAAGTTAAAACGAAATCACATTATTGTTATGACGCCACATAGCAAAGAAAAGCCAGAGTGGTGGCTGGAAATTCAAAAACAATGCAAAGACAAATCAATCGCAACGAGATTCTTAGAATATGCTAGAGTACGCATTTATGTGTGCATACATACACACATACAAATGAGCGCGTGTATAAGGCTGGAATGCTTGATGCTATGCGTGCAGACTTACATATATACATATGTATGTATTTGCATATATGTATTTGAGGGCTATTTAAGAAGAAACAAATTTAAACTTATAAAATTATTCGACTAAGAAAATGAAAAGTATTAAGTGCCATTCAGTCAAGCTCGCACCTTCCCAATAAAATATCTATTTTATAAAAAACGAAATATGTATGAAAAAAAAAAAAAAAAACATAGTAGAGGTTCGAACCTCCCTACTCTAACGTTACTTGCGTCGCCCTTAGCACCCGCGCCATTGCTTTGCTCGAGCACTCAGCTGCTAAAATAGAATAGCTTAATAATAGAGCGTCATCAGACAAAACTACAGTAACGGAAAGTCCAGAAATCAATCGAAATTCTAAGAATGTGAGAAAAGGCGCGCTTCTGTCTGTACGCATAGAATAGACGATGAGTGTGTGCACATGTATAGTAAAATCGCGCTGATCTGCTGCTAGCTTGAAGCCGGTATCCAATATATGGATATAAATACATGTATATTATTAAAAGTCAAAATTGTATAAATTATATACATATGCATGTAATTTGAATGCAATTATGCAATGATCATAGCAATAGCTATCGATGATTTTCCAATTTTAATGGGATCATGCCCTGTTTTTTGTTGCGCACTAGACTTGAAAATTGCACTATATACTCTGGTTGACAGCGTTTGGGCTGTGAATGAGTCTTCTGCAATCGGTATCGCCCGACTGCAACGTTCTTACTTGTTTTTTTTTGTGAATTTTTACCGTAGCTTATTTACGAGCCTTCACGCAACATGGGATACGCACAATTCGCTTGCAGCAAGGTCAGAAGGAATTCGCCGTGCCACACATGGGAAAGGGAGAGCATGAGCACAGCACAGGCTGTAACCAAAAACCAAGCCAAGCCATGTCCGCATTCGAGAACATATTGCACATTTGCATGTGTGGCAGGGCCTCCATCCATGCGAGTAGGCGTCATGTTGGATAAGTCCTAGGAGAATACGCTCGCCATTTCCAGTTGCTGCCACTCCCCCGCAACCCGATAAAAAATGAATCCTAACCATATTAAATTTGTTATAAATTAAGATTGATACGATGAGCCCCAGGGAAAAACCATAGCTGAATGGCGCTCGTTATGCGTACAGCTAGTAGAAGAAGAAGGGGGGGAAGCGGAACGAGTGTGTGTGCTCTAGATACACTTACCTCTTAATATGGCATTCGAGTAATGAACAGCTGTAAAAACAGACGAAAAATGTGAGTCATTAACAATTTGCAGTAAAAACTGATTGTTTATGTTATCAAAGGATCGAGGTGAGTTATATTTATCCATTATGATGTATTAAAGCATATGAATAATACTTATGATTCATATTTGTAATAAATATAATAAATATTTAATATTTATTATGCAGGCTTAACCGCTTGAGCTTTGCTTTTGGTATCATTCAGCGCATCAATCACACGATCAATCAAGCTGCTAAGAACTTAGCCTTTCACATGATTTTACTTTCGGTATCAATCAGTTCCTCAATCAAATTTATTAACCTTGATAATTTTGCTTTCAGTATCAGGTTATGTATGATTCATCCAAAGGTCCATAAATCAGACAATCATTCGATTGAGGAGAGCTCTAGTCAATATTTTACTGTAAGGTCAATCATCAATACGTGTCAATCAATCGGTACGATATGATGAAAATAATAAAATATGAGTAATAGATTATATATCACTCAATTAATCAGTTTTTCAGTTAATAGTCAACAGATTGGATTAGATGGATTTATAACCCAATTATCAGATGAGGTCAAATGTCAATGTTGCCTTAGCTTATAAATAATGGACAACCAGCCAGTCAGGCAATCAATCAATCTTTCTAGCTGCTACAGCTATGAGTTTTTCTCTAATTACTCAATGCTAAAATTGAAATTATCAAACGAAATTTTCCCACTAACCGAGTGCTCAACTTTATATTTATCCTCATGTCAAAGTCAATGTCAAAGCCAATGCCAGTGTTTGCCTCACACATTTCCTTTTTTATGTCGCTCCTTACTGCACATTTATTTGCTTGGCTGTGCGCATTAATCGTCTTCGTTTGACCGTGTTTTGCTCCACAAAAAACTAACTGTTGCCTTTGTTTTGTTTGTTGTTGTTGCTGCTCTTGCTGTTGCTGTTGTTTTTGCGAATGCTATTGTCGACAATGAAGCGACTGCCATAAAAAGGCAACTCGCACAGCTGCCAACCTCGGAAATTAAAACCGAAAAACGAACAAAACACAAAATTAAATTTCGTTCATCAATTGCTGCAACGAACTTGAAACTTGCAATTGGAGCTGTGTGGCAACAACACAACAATAGCAACAACAACAACTACAGTCAGTGTTTAATCAAGTGTGAAATCTTTAATCAAGTCGATCGTCCCGTCCAGTGCCGCCTCCTCAGAAAGGCAACAGCCCAGCTGCCGGTTAGCCAATGCAGCCAGCTCACAGCTGACTGAAAGACCTTTCAGTCATTTTTTGCGCTTCTCCTTTCTCCCTTCTAGCTTTAGTTTTACCTGGCCTGACCTTTTTCCCCCAGTTCCCATCGCCCATGGCTGTTGCTGTTGCTGTAGCTCTGGGCCCTCCCACGCTTCACAGCTCTCGCTCTCACTCTCTCTCGCTCTCTCCCTCTCTTTCTCTCTTGTAGCCCTCTCATGCAGCCTGTCAATTAAAAAGCCGTCGTCTCGACTGGCCCGGGCCCTGAGCCAGAGCCTGCCTGACACGATTTGTTGCCAGTTGCATTGAAAAAACGGTAAAAAAGAGTTAAATGAACGAGGAAAAATGCTTTTCCCGAGTGCGAATTAACTGAATTAGCTGTAAATGCTATTGCAATTACGGTAAAAGTGCTGTCAAAGCGACCAGAATCGGATTTATACATTGAATAGAAACCCAACTATCGACTGCAAATCAAATGGCAAACAAACCCAGGCCAAACCCCACGGGCAGCCAAAACCAAAATAGGCCATGGGAAATCAGTGGCATGGCAAAACTTTATTATAGATATTCATTTAAAATAATAATAATTAATTAATAATGGCACTCTGATTTTGACAGACTTGCAGCTAGTGAATGAATGTGGAAATAAGAAATAAAAGGGGAAAAGCTTCTAAAAATACCGATATTTGATTATTAACCGGTGGACCATGTTATCAGTGATCTGCTTTAAGGTTAGTGGTTTATTGACACGAAATTTTGTTGCTCTATAAATAGTTAGGATGAGAATATCTCAGTTTGCGTAGCTAGTTTTCAGTAATGCTGGAAAGTGAGTTTAGAGTCTCTTGTTCATGCTGTGTTATAATTGAAATCTCCAACATATTAAGATGAAATTTCATTGTTGATGCGTTTGTGGAAGAATGTAAAAATTTCGTAAATGTGACCATAATCATCTCAAGTGAACTCTGATATTTATTTAAACAAGCATGAATACAATATTGGGCCTAATTAATTTTAAAATGATAATAATCTTTTTCTGCCGCAATTACTTTCAAAAGATGAAGTCATTTTATTTTAAATGAGAAATGCAGTGTTTTAGCTTGGAATAAAATATTTATTTTAATTATTTATTTAATACAAAGGGCTATAAAAGAAAAGAAAAAGTTATTGTTTCCAAGCATTAGAACTGTTAAGCCAGCTTGGCTAAGAAATGCGCTAATTATGTCGAAGCATTTATGAAACTATATCTCTCATAAAATGTAAACATTTCTTATAAGTATAAGTATATACATATACATATGTATATATATTTATATACAGTCTCCAGTTTCAGTTTACACATTCATACGGAGGAACGTGACAATTGAGTATTGAAGAATATTATAATACTTTATTGTTATCGTGGTCAACTAAAATTAAAACTACGAACAAGCTTAGAGCAGAGATGTCCAAAGTGGAGGTAGGTTCATTCATATAAATTCCTTAATCTCCGTCATTAATTAACGTACAACTTTTTATTCAATTCCCACAGTTATTTGAAGCTCACGTGATAGCTTTTGCGGGTCTAATACTCGACTCTTGAATATACACACATATATACATACCCACAGTGAGCTCCCGCTTTGAACAACAATGGAAAGTAAATAAGTATTACGGCTGAACAATGGACGTACGCAAAAAAGAAGCCACGAAAAAAAAAACAGCTGAACAGCTGTCTGGATGACTTTAAATAAATTATAAACAAACATAACAATTTAAATAAATTCAGCCGTTGGCTGCTCATCCGGCTGTTCATCTGGTTGCTTTCAAGCCAGAAAAATACTCCTCTCGCACAGGGCAGAGCAGAGTCATGCAAAGACAATTAAAAGAGCCGCAAACGGAGTCAACAAAATAAAATAAGAGCCCAAAGCTGGGGGCTAGGTAAAAAAGTAAAATACAAGAATCGTGATCTGGGCTTTATAACTGGGTCAAATCTGTGTTTGATGCCAGCGCATGAAATGGAGTGAGCCGAGCACAAAATGTAACCAAAAGATTTTATTGTAATAGACGTTAGCAGCAGCGCGAGAAATAGAGATAGATAGAGTGAGAAAGAGAGAGAGAGAGAGAGAAATGCAAATGAAAATGGAAATGAAAATGTAACGGGCAAAAAGTTTTGCGGCTAACTTTAGCGATTGTCTTTGCCATGAATGCCACGCCTCCATTTATGCACCCACCCAGAGTGTACAATGCATGGAAGAAAATAAAATTAAAAAATAAAAATAAAAATCCATATGCAGCTAAGAGCAAAGTTTTAATCAAATGCCAGAGAAAACTTCATTAATTTGCCGCCAACTTTCAGCATTTGACTTCGTCTTTGGCCCCGGTGCTAAAATAAAACCCATTAAAAATGCCTGCGAAAGGCTAACAAAAAAGGGTCATAAATACCAAAGTGAGCCAACAAATATACCCTATAGAAACTTAAGAAAATCTGCATCGGCCAACAGATCTGACTGAGAATTGGAAAGTCAATAGAGAAAGGTAAACATGACTGGATAAGAAATTGAGAAATGGAAAATGGGAAATGTTGAATAAAAAAAACTTGAATAATAACTAAGTTTGCTAATATACCCTATAGAAAATTCACAAGCAGAGTGAGACTGCTAGAATAAAGAGGAAGTTTTAGTTAGTTGAAAGTAAATTAAATTTAAATTAGATACAAATTGTGGCTTCTCGTTGATATTGATGCTCAGGCAAGCTGTTTTCGCTGTGAACTCTTCAAAGTATTGCTAGCTCATTTATCCGAAAGTAATCATCAATCAGTCCGTCAGTCAGTCAGTCAGCTTGTGCGAGAACCGCAACAATATTTTATGCAAATGCTCCCGACCAAGTCCGGCAGAAAGAAAAAACTCGCCGATGCTTCCCTCAGCGCTAATATAGTCATGCGAATTGAGCGGGTCGTACCGAACCGAGCATTAGCATTTGCTCCTGCCTTCGAATCGCTCTGCATATGCATTTATTCAGCATGTATGTGTAGGTATATGTATGTATGCAAGTACGTAAGTATTGCCCACCGACATTAAACTGTTATGTGGCGAGGGTTGCTGCAGTGCAATTGCAATCTGAAAGTGGCCTGAATATGTTAACTGCCATCTGTTGGTCCCTTAAGCGGGCATCTCTCTGTGTGTGAGTGTGTGTGTGTGGTATGAAGCGATGATTCTGCGGTTAGATGTTGCTTGCAATCTGAAATTGATTTTTCATATTTAATGTGGAAATGCAACTAGCGCGAGCTCTGCAAGTGAAGCACATATAAATTGAAGAGTAATATTACGTGAGCGAGGTGTGGACAAAGAGTTTAAGCAATGGGAGACATAGAGGCACATAGAGACAGTGACAGAGGGAGAACGAGAAAGAGAGAGGGAGAGAGAGAGGGAGACAGAGAGATGCACTGGCGAACTGCTTACTTCATCAGTTCTCGATAATTGTTTATTAGTATAAATATTAAATTGAAATATAAAATATGTCAGTAAGTTCAATGGATATATTTTTAATACATATGTATTACTCTTAACTTATTTTATGAATTGTAAAATATGTAGTAAATTTAATTACAGTAGTTAACATACTTACTCTAAATTTAATTTGTTATGGACCTAAGAGTATTCATTAAGTGAAAAGTAATATATATTAAATAGTGTAACTTATTTAATTTAATAGCACATTTTACATTTCTATGCAAGTATATACATATATGTATTTATCAATTAAATTTGTCCCTTTTTATACCCTG